ATCCAGAGAGAAACGCATGCGCTGATAATAGGCCTGCGCTTTTATCCGGGGCCTTACGGTATGATTATACCGGTAGTTTTAACAACAGTGTCGAGGTGGGGGTGTCGCAAGGTGGTAACGGGATACGGTTTGGATGAAAGCGGAGGGAACAACGTTGTACGTGGTAGAGGTGGTGACTCGAAGTAAGGAAAGTTTAATTCCTTACAGAGGGGCTCAAACTCAACAAGCAAAGGAAATGTGTGTAGATTCTCCTGATTGAGACTGTTCTCCAAACCCATATGCATCAGAATATGGTCCACCTAGAGTATGGTGCCCGTTCCAATAGTTCAGACCTCCCCAACACAGATTGCAATCATATGGAAGCTCAAACCCTTGCAAATCTCTCAGAACAGTCAGACAACCTTCAATAAAATTACTAATGTAGGAGCCAATGGCTCGTTATGAGATTAATAGAGGGCCTTATTTGGCAAACATGGATGAGGACAGTTGACTATACTACATCGCACATCTAACCTAGTGCACTTAGCACAACTCAACAGCAACACGTGAGTCTGACAATAGATATAGCTTCCTATTGTCCACGCAGGACGATGGGACCCGAGACAAGGTACAGTGGCGGCGCCAATGCGTGTATTCAGTTTCCCTTGGAGAGCTTGAGGATGGGGGAGCCTCCCCACAGCACGGTGCGGTTGGCCAGCGTGTTGAACATCGACGCCGCCGCCATGTAGAGCGCTGGGGAGATCCGGGAAGGGATTGGGGGGGGAGAGAGAAAGCGAGAAAGGAAAGTGTGAGCAAAATGAGGCGGAACGCAGCATGGGCCTGGATGAATACCGTTGCGCTGAGAGGCGGATGATCTTGACAGTTACTACAGCGGGCGCCATCAAATTGAGTATCTCAATATCCTGAAATGAGAAAATGCGCGGAACACGATCGAAGGTAGCAAGGCGGGTGAGTGAGATGTTGGAGCGAACGACGCAAAGGGACGTACCAGCGAGCGAGGTGAGCAGCAGCGCGTAGCCGGAGGCGGCGGTCCATCCGTGGCCGGGGGCGTCGTTGCGGAAGCAGCCGATGACGAGGAAGAGGAAGAAGAGCTCGAGGAGGAAGAAGGTGACGAAGGCCACCTTCGAGAGCAGCAGCGTCAGGAACGTCATGTACGTGTTGAACACCAGAAACGCCGTCAGGAACCACCCCAGCGCCTTCATCGAATCGAACCCGGGAGCCGCCTGAACGAACGGAATGCAAACGAAATAATGAGAAACCGTGAAAATGCGGGGGATTCACCGACTAGATTGTTCTGGTGGACGGTTTGAGAGGGTTGGCTTTGGCTTACGAGGCCGAGTTTGTCGAGCAGCATGAGCATGGCGACGGCCATCCAGTAGCAGCCGTAGGACGAGTAGGAGGTGGCCACGAAGACGTTGCCGCGCTTGAACTCCCACATGCCCGCCACGAACTGACCCACGCCGCCGTAAAACACGGCCAGCCCGATCCAAATCACGTCGGGCGCCCAATCTGCAGGGCCCAAGGCGCACGGAAGGGACCGTCAGACGTTGAAAGGAGTCGAAATCGGAAATGCTGGTGCGTGCATTGCTGCAAAGCCGCTTACTTGTGAGATGTACGGCGAGGACGAACGTTGTAACGAAGAACGACGAGAGTCCATGTGGGCCCACTTCCGCAATGAGCTCCTTCTCGACTGCGATGCGAACGTTGTCAACTTTTGTCTCGGCCATGGCTGAAATGAAGGTTCGGTCGCGTGCTGTGGATGCAGGCGGAGGTGAGAGTGTCAATGGATCGAGCGGAGGGCAGCAGTTGTTGGCACTTGAAAATGAGATTGGAGTTATGAAATGTGGGACACATGACGAGAGCAGAAATACTTGCTCTTGGTGGACAGGAGAGGCTCGAGGGGGGGAACTTGGAGGAGATTGGGGCGGGAGGTTCGTGGTGGAATGCGCGGAGCGCGGAAGAGCTGTGGCGCAAAGAAAGGTGTAGCTGAAAACCTCGTGTGTACCTGGCTCGAATCGCGCCCTGTCATCTCCTTCAGATTTGGAGCGGACCGCGCTGATGATATCCAGCAGGACAAATTTTGTGCCGCATTAGATTTTGGAAAGTCGTTTAGTGACGAATCACGTGGTTTCGCCTCCATCTATCACGATAAGACGCCTTGCTGACTCATGAAGGGCCAAGCAAACCGCCAATAAAATTGCACAATGCCTTAGCCACGAGTACTTTTGCTGCCCAGAGGTTATCACGTGTCCCAAAAGTTTCGCCACGTTGGATCAGCCGGAAAAAAAATTGTTGCTGATTTGGAGGCCAGCTCGACAAACTCCCAAAGCTCCCACGCGGCGCGTTTCGCCGGACGTGGCGAATGCGCGGTGGCGCACGTGAGAGATGCATTTTCCGCCAAAACACCCAGCTCAGATTTCCCCAACCCGCCAAGCCTTTGCCTTGTGATCCCCCCCTTCCCTTGTGCACCCCGCGTCACCACCTCTTCCCCATTTCCGCCTCTGCAATCCCACTTTTCCCAACTCACATCCCGTTACCTCTGCCCACTACATATCCGCGCTGCTCATTCGACTTGCCTTCATTGCAACAATCTCTGCGACGCACACTCTTCACTTCTGTTTGCAACTTCGACTTCGCCTGCTCAGTCGACATCGCTCGGATCTCAAGCACCTAGCGCCAACAAGACTTCAACTCTCATCGCCAGCATGGGCCTCGAGGACGGGCTTTCCGATGACGTCCGTGTGATCACCGAGAAGTCGCTACCAGCCGACGCCTCCTCCTTCGGCCTAGGGGCCTTCGCCGGCACAATGTTTATCCTCTCCTCTTACCTTGCCGGTGAGTGCTTCTTCTCCCACTAAGCACGCTCTGGCCTTGAAATGTCGACGCCTTTTATCGACGCTTGAAATATTCCCTTGGTGTGAGTGCAGGGTGGGCGCCCGACTTGACGTGGGTGACGGTGGCGCTGTTCTACGGCGGCTTGGGGCAGTTCGTGGCGGGCATGTGGCAGTACAAGCGCAACTGCGTGTTCTCCTCCACCTCCTTCTCCACCTACGGCTGCTTCTGGATGTCGCTCGGCCTCTTCTACTGCTTCAAGCTCTGGAAATGGGTCAGTCCACTCGGGGCCCCACAATGCATCGCATCGCAAGTACCGTCCCTTCCTGCATTTATGTTTCGTTGCGGCGCGGCCAGTTCTCTTAACTTCCGGCTCGCCCGCGTCTCTTCTCCCCGCGTGCTGCGCGCATTGCAGGTGCCGGCGGACTACGACGTGTCGGGCGCGGAGGCGTGGTTCCTGGTGGCGTTCTTCCTCTTCAACACGTACATGCTAGCGGCGGCCTTCACGCTGTCCGTGGTGAACGTGGTGGTGTTCGGCCTGTACGAGCTCACGCTCGTCTGCCTCATCATCGGCGACTTCCTCAAGCAGCCCGTCGGCGGCGGCGCCTCCTGGATCACCGCCGGCGGATACATCGGCGTCTTCACCTCCGTCTCGGGTAAGCCCGGCGAGGAGAGGCGCGGGTTTCGCTAATTCGTGGAAATATGTACCGCATTGTTTGTCGATCAGTCCGCTCGAAGTGTTCATGGAGTGAGGCAGGCTGAAGGTTTGAGATACACTCTCTAACCATGATTCCCCCGTGCCTCCTCGTGTGCCCCTCGTGCTTGTGCAGCGTGGTACGCGTCGTTCGCAGTGCTCTTTAACGGCATGGTCGATCGCGAGATAATGTACATCGGCAAGCCGCTCATCAACATCAAGCGGGATTAGAAGCGCAGTTTTTACTCCATAGATGCGATCCTGCTCGCGCGGCAGCGTTTGGGAGCTCGTTTTGAGATGCAGTGTGCATCAGTGCGGCCATAGAGTCCAATTAGATAAGTGTAAAGCTGTAATGCGTCTGCTGGGCAGGTAGGCTGGTTAAAAATAAGAGTTAAGGTGCTCATGTTTACTAATGTATTGGTGCTAGTTGTTTAGGCTGTAACCACCTACAAAGTGTAATTGTGTGTTCTGTCAAACCAGTGTGTGCTCTCATCGGCCACTCTCCTGCTGCTCCTCCCACCCACCAAGAATTTACAAATCATGTCCTCTCATTTCTAGTACTGGTACTTCAAATTATACAGATACACAGGTAGCGGAACGAGTGAGTTGGAGAAAGTGGGGATGGTGAGAAGAGGTTGCAAGCATCCCACCCGACCCGTCCTGCTCCATATCCTCCCACTCCGTCCGAACAACCTACGGCCCCCTCGTCATGCAACGCGCACCTGGGCCCGCTGCAAAGCCACCCTAATGGCAGCCCTAAGTGAACCAAGCAAGTTCGCCGACAACCGACGTTGCGCGTTACATTAACAGCGCTCAAGTTACAAACCCACTTCATACTGCAGATTTTTGTAGTCAGGCGGATGGTGCTAGTTGTTTAGGCTGTAACCACCTACAAAGTGTAATTGTGTGTTCTGTCAAACCAGTGTGTGCTCTCATCGGCCACTCTCCTGCTGCTCCTCCCACCCACCAAGAATTTACAAATCATGTCCTCTCATTTCTAGTACTGGTACTTCAAATTATACAGATACACAGGTAGCGGAACGAGTGAGTTGGAGAAAGTGGGGATGGTGAGAAGAGGTTGCAAGCATCCCACCCGACCCGTCCTGCTCCATATCCTCCCACTCCGTCCGAACAACCTACGGGCCCCTCGTCATGCAACGCGCACCTGGGCCCGCTGCAAAGCCACCCTAATGGCAGCCCTAAGTGAACCAAGCAAGTTCGCCGACAACCGACGTTGCGCGTTACATTAACAGCGCTCAAGTTACAAACCCACTTCATACTGCAGATTTTTGTAGTCAGGCGGATGGCCCGTTGCAAATCCCCGCCCGTGTCACCACAACATACGAGTATAATGTTCTCTTCGAAGGCTTATGCTGTACACCAATTTTACATCACTCAAGCCATTACGCACCCCCTCGATCAGGAACCGTAACAAGCATATAAAACTCGGTCATGGCGCAGACAGCAACCAGCACTACTCCGGGTGGTGAACTCCCCAGGAGGTTGAACTGTGCGCCTGTGCACCCGTCGGTTCAACCTGCAGGGGGGGGGGGGGGTGGGGGGAAGATGGGGTGGTGGGGAGCGAACGAAATGGAGTGCAGGGGGGAGAGGGGCGGGTGAGGTGGGAAATGCGGTGGGGTCTGGAGGGGCAGTGTGGTCGGGAGGGGTAGGGAGGGTGTGGTGGGTTGAGAAAGGTATGATCCCTGTTGCAAGCTGACGCTTGTGAGGTTGTGTGTGGAGTGGATAGGTGTGGGCATGGGTTTCGTGCCCAGTTTTTTCGAGGGCAGGGGAGAGAACGACGAGAGGTGGTGACAGCAGGTAGTGTGCATGGGGAGACACAGAGAGGTGTCTAAGTCGTGGAGAGAGTGCAGGCAAACGGAAAGCGAGAGTAGAGGCGGTCCAGGCAGTAGAGGAAGAGGGGTAGTGCCACTGGTAACTTCACAACCACAAGCTACCCACCCCTACGGGAACCTGAGGGGGTAAACCTGAGGGGGCTGTAAAGCATTAAGGGGACCTGAACCCGATATGCGGGGTTTACCTGCAGTGCAGCAGTGGGGGGTCTGTAGGTTGTGAGGTGGTCCTTAAACAGTTGTACCTTTTCTAAGAGCGAGGCAGAAGCACGAGCAAAACGGAAGAACCCGAACATGAAGCCCCATGTCTTTCAAACTTCTCCCCGAAACCCATCCGAACCACGGCTGCCCGTCACACTCCTCCAGGAAATTCACCACATCTGTCTGCGACCCCAGAGAAAATAGGCTCCGCACCTGTGCGAGGAGTAGGGAGAGAAGGGAAAAAACAGAGGGGATCAGGGGGGGGGAAGAGAGGGGGGGAGAGTATCAGGCCAGAACCAGTGGAATGAGCAGATGAAGGAGGGGTAGGGGTAGTTTTCAAGTGCGACGCCTGTAAGAGAGGCAGGGCGGCACAGGAAGTAAAGAGAAACAATGAGGGAGAGGGGGAGGCGGGGTGGGGTGGAGATTGCAGAGCATGTGGCTCCCCATGAGCCACATCACCTGCCCCATGAGCCACATCACCTGCCCCATGAGCCACATCACCTGCCCCATGAGCCACATCACGATGCCCGCGCCATCCACCATGAGCAGATACCGCAGGAGCAATGGCGCATCGTCCCCCACTGCCACGCCTCTGACCGCCTCTGCTGTGACGCCCACATGCTGCAGCATGCGCAGAGCGTCCGACAGACGGACATTGGAGGGGAACTCGAGCTCTGGTGGGCGGAGGGGGGGAGGGGAGGGATGACGGAGCAAGTGACGGAAACAGCAGGGAAGGGCGGGAGGACAAGGGGACAGAGGGATGGAATATGTGAGGCGCGTCGAGCCCTGGTGGGAGGAGAGAGGAAAGCGGAAGGGAGAGAGGGAACGTAAAGTTTCCGGATTCGCAGGGAAAGAGTGGAAGGCAAGGTACAGCACGGGTTGAAGTTGAGAGGCTAATTGTAATGGACGGAAGCATATGGGGGTACAGGAGTGCACATGAACGCATAAGACCGTACAGGAGCGTATAGGAGCATAGGTGTGATGGTAAGAAGACTGGCGATCATATGTGCTGGCAAGGGAACACAGACACGAACAATTGACTTAACGCCCCATTCAGCGCCTCCAGCACGCGCGGCTTCTCCTCCTTCACGCTCTCCGCGCTCCCTCTCCCCTCCTCGTCCTCCCGTCCGCTCCTTCTCGTTCCTCGTGGCGCTCCTCCCGGCCAGCGCGCGACTCCCGAATCTCCTAGATGCCCTGTCGCAGGGGAACGGCGTGCGCGCGGCTCCACGTGCCATTCCTTCGTCGGCGGCGCCGCTGTCTCGCCAGCACTCGCTGGCCCACGAAGACTGCTTCCCCTGCTGCTGTGGCGGCGGCGGCTGTCCTGCGCCCCCCTGGCCATGAAGCGATCGGAAGGTAAGCTGGGCGCTAGCGGTTGGTTGGGGTGGGATGCGCGCACGGGGAATTACACAGCCTGTGCGCGGCAGTGACGGAAGTAACGGGTGTAACCAGGGGCGCCGGGACGGGGAGGTGCGCCTGCGGTGACGGTGTCGCACCCACGGTCGCCCCGCACTAGTTCGTGCGATGATGCTGCGACGGAACGAGCGAAGTGGCGGGCTAGCGACGACGCGACGTCGTGGGAGGACGATCGAGTCATGGCGATAGATTGTGCGATGCGTTGCTCGTAGGGACTGGGCAAGGTAGACGCCCGCTCATGGGGACATGCAGCGGGATGAGAGCCTCCCTGAGGGAGGTAACGGACATGGCGGGAAGATTGGATGTGAGAGGAAAGGGGTCTCCCTAGCATGCATGCGGATCTGACGAGCGCTGCAGCAGAGGAAAGCGCCGAAGAGTGCGTGTTGTTGTCAAGTTGACGCTAACACTGACGCTAACGCTTCTCAGGATCTCTGCTTCTCTGCAGCGCCATGTGAGTCTGGTTGTCGTGAGAGAGATACCATTCATGCCTGGAGGAGTGTGAAAGTGCCTTGGCTGGAATATCGCCCCAGGACACACAGCCAAGCGAAACGGCTTGAAGTTGAGGAGGGCGTGTTCGAGATGGGTTCTGTAGTTGGCTCTTCATCTTGTGTCGACTCGGTTTCAGTTCGCATAGTTTCTGTGGCAGGTGGCGGGTGCACCAATGGTTTTCGTTCTGTCAAGGCCCATCCAATCACGTGTGTTGTACTCAACCCACATTGGGCGAAAGGGGTGTTTATTTGCCCGCTGTTTAGCTAACATCAATCACCCACGCGACCAGATGGTGTGCGCCTTTTCCTTTTGCCCCTCGGGCACTTCCACTTGTAAAACAGAGTAGCTGTGACTACTGGAGGGCTGGAAACTTGGCTGGAAAGTCTTAGCAGGGCTGCTGGAATTGACTGGATGAGGTAAAACTTCACTATGTTCAAGATTAACAAGCCCACTAAAGCACAACTCTAGGCATCACAAACAAGACAGATTGAAAGCTCAAACTAGGCTGATAGACAATGTAACTTCCCTGGTAACTTGGGCACAATCTAGATTGGATGGACCTTGAGTGACTTTGAGTGCCACATGAGGTGCATGAATAAGAAAACTCTGGATATTTCTGTTATAGCTGATTCTGATGTGTAGAAACCTGTAGAAACTGCCAACACTTCGGTTTGAAGGCAGCTTTGAACTATATCGAGTCTTCGGCTGAAATCTGATTGGTGGTGGAACTTTCGAAGTACTTCCCGAAGCTCTGATTCATCGCCGACATTCCCCCTTGCTGCTGCTTGTGTGCAAAGGGCTGGGGCGGCAGAAACTCGATTCTCCAACACTCCCCCTCGCACCAGTCCCGAAGCACACATACACCCATGCTGATGCTCCTTTCACATCTCCTTAGCATACACTTCATGCTGCTGCCCACGTCTCTTCCCCTCACACTCCTCATTCTCCTCAAACTGCTCCACTGCTTCATGAAGTGTCATGAGGCCTGCTCTTGCCTTGCACATGTTGAATGCATCATGTGGAAGAACCTTGGTCATGAAATCTGCTGCTTGATCGAATGAACGGCAAAAGTTGACGGCGAGAACTCCCTTCTCTAGTTGCTCACGAATGAAGTGGTACTGCACCTCGATGTGTTTTGTACGCCCATGATGAACCGGGTTCTTGGAAAGAGCTACGGCTGAAGTGTTGTCCACGTAGAGCGGAGTTGGTTGAGTTTGCGGCTGCCTCAATTCCTCCAAGAGTCCACGTAACCAGATTGCCTCCCTTGCTCCTTCGGTCATTGCCATGTACTCAGCTTCGGTTGTTGAAAGTGCCACACAACTTTGCTTGCGCGATTGCCAAGAAACAGCGGCACCACACATGAGGAAGATGTAGCCGCCGGTAGACTTGCGTGTGTTCAATTCTCCCGCCCAATCTGCATCGGTAAAGCCTTGGAGGGAGCTTGCATATGGGCTGGCTTGGAAGAGAAGACCATGATTAGAAGTACCTTTGAGATACCGAAGAGCTCGCTTGGCTGCATGCATATGAATAGGTGAAGGGGCACTCATGTGTTGAGCTAGCTTAGATACCGTGAATGCTAAGTCGGGCCTTGTGCATAGGGCTGCATACATGAGACACCCAACCTGACTTTGGTACAGAGCTAGGTCTTGTGGGGATACCTTAAGTGAATTCTCACCATGATGCTCACTCTCCTCAAGACACAACTCTTTAATACCTATGATATCAAGGCTTGACTCTCTCTCTTCATAGGGCTGATGTGAAGACAAAGGGACAAATTTGGAAGGAAGTGGGGTAGGTGATGGCTTGCTATCATCAAGACCAAACCTCTCAAGGACCTTTTGGATGTACCTTTGCTGGAATAGGAAGATGGACCGTGACTTACGATCTCTCACAATGTTCATACCAAGATAATGACTCGGCTCACCAAGATCGGTCATCGTGAATGCACTCGTGAGAATACCTTTCACCTTGTTGAGAATATCAAGAGAACCTGAGACTAGGAGGAGGTCATCGACATATACCAAGAGCCAAATGTACTCCCCCTCACTCGTGTGCATGAAGTACAGAGCGTTGTCTCTCATGGACCTTGTGAAACCATGCTTGAAAAGTACCTGCTCAAGAGCATGATACCAAACCCGTGGGGACTGTTTGAGACCATAAAGGGACTTTACCAAGCGACACACTCGACCCGTACCGTCATCATAACCTTCGGGTTGTGCCATGTATACCTCTTCTTCCAAGACACCGTAGAGAAATGCGTTCTTGACATCCATTTGATGGATATGGAGACCAAGATATGCGGCTATGGCGAGGAGGACTCGTACCGTGGTGTACTTTGCTACCACGGCAAAGGTTTCGGTGAAGTCAAGACCTGGAATTTGGGAATAACCTTTTGCCACTAACCTTGCCTTGTACCTATCGAGGCTACCATCACCTTTTACCTTGATCTTGTACACCCATTTGACACCAATTACCTTCTTCCCTGGAGGTGGCTCAACAAGACGCCATGTACCTCGCTTCATGAGACTCTCAATCTCCTCTTCCTCGGCTTTCAACCAATGCTCTCTTTCGGGACTTGCCATTGCCTCACGACGACTCAAGGGCTCTCGCGGAAGGTGTGATGCTGCCATGCATATTGCCTCTACCTTCTTGTGAATGCAATTCTCACTCTCCTCACATGTGCACCTTGATGACATGTCAACCATGAAATTGAAGGGCTTTTTAACCTTGCGGACTCGTTTACCTTTACCAAACTCCTCAGTTGGCTGAGACACATTAGTGGTAGGGTTCGGTCTCACAGTGTTTGATTGCGTTGATGCGGTCATTTGCGGCTGAGACAACGGCTGCGACATCGGCTGCGACGGCGGCACGGCTGCTTGTTCTTCTCCTGGCGTGGAAATATCTTGATTATCGGTGTTGACTTGAGGATTAGGTATGGTGACTCGTGGCGGTGAAGCTGAAACGTTTGTCGGCATAGTTGGTTGTGAAGATGCTCTTGGTGGGGATCTTGAGACTAGAAGCTTGGGAATTGATGATGACGCTGCCTTGTCGAGAGGTGGTGATGGTTGGGGCTGGTTGGTGTTGTTGCTCGGTGTTGAAGACGGTGGTAACTGATGACGACCGAATCCGGGACGTGGGGGTGAAATTGAGAAAGGTCTTGGGTGAAGAAGTGGACTGTTGGAGCTGGTGTTGGTGGTGACTCGCTGAAGTGATCCTCGTGCTATGAGCTGGCTTGACGTTGGAACAAGTTATGAACGTGTGGTATGAGAACGAGGTGTTGCGGTGACGGTTGACTTGTTGCTAGGAAGAGTCGTAGATGGTGTTGATGTAGGTACTTGGGGTCTTGTAGCTGTTGATTGCTGCTGCATGGGATGATGATGAGCTTCTGTAGTTGCCTCTGGAGTGATGGCTGGTGATGGGTTTGATGGCGTAGTGGTGGGCTGATCCGGTTGGCGTTGAAATTGTGAGGTTGGTGTTGATATAGCTGGCTGGTTTGTGACTGTTGGCTGCTGCTCCTTTAGTGGTGATGGAACGGTGACTTGCTGCGGTGGATTGTCTTCATTTGATGGCTGAACTTCATCTCCACTTGGTTGAGTAGCTGCTGGTGGCACTGGCGTGGCACGGTTGGACTCGTTGACGACGGCTTGAGGGAGATCGATGATCGGTCCGCTATGGTCAGAATCGGTGTCATCTTCTTCCTCCTCTTGTGTTGTTTCCTCAGGTGCGCTTGCTGGTTCCTGTTGGATAGAGGGTAGAGAGGAGGAAGAGGAAAACTTATGCCAACCTGCAAGGGACATGTCTTCATAGAAGACAACATCCCTTGAAACCACTTCTCGCTTGGTGACAGGATCCCAAAGGACCCATCCCTTGCTCTCATTGCTCATGCCGATGAAGAGGCCCCAAGGAGCTTTGCTGTCCAGCTTGAGTCTCTTTGCATCTGGAACACGGTATTGGGCCATGGAACCAAAAACACGAAGCATAGACAGATCTGGTTTAACTCCAAACCAAGCCTCATATGGCGTTACACCTTCCGGTAAGGGCCTTGTGGGTCTCCTGTTGCGAACATAAATTGCCATAGTGATTGCCTCACCCCACCAGAGCTTGTCAAGGCCTTTGAACTGAAGGAAAGTGGTAGCTATAGCCTGGATAGTGCGATGAAACCTCTCTGCCACTCCATTTTGCTGAGGACTATAGGGACAAGTGAACTGTTGTTTGATGCCCAATGCCAACAACTCCCCCTGAAACGCTTTCCCCATGTACTCACCTCCTCGATCCGACCTCAAGGTGAGTAACTTCTTCCCTGACTCTCTCTCAACAAGTGCTAGCCATTGCTTGAAACACTTGTGAACTTCATCCTAGGTGTTGATGAAAAAGGACCACGAGAAACGACTCTTGTCATCAATGAAAGACACCAAATATCTCTTACCGTTTCGAGTA